AAGACTTCTCCCACCGTCGAGAGGAAGCCCCAGGTACTCCGCTCCTACGTCCATCTAGCGAGGGTTTTGACCGGTAAACTGCTCCTCACCGTGATTTTTACTGGAGTGACCTCTCCAAGGGCGGATGTGGATAGAAGAAAGAAGCCAGGTGCCCAAGCTGCTGGCTTGTGAGACTGAGCTTCGTCTGGCCTTTACTCGTTGACCTTTCAGGCATGATTGGATCTACGGCTGTGAAAAGCCATCCTGTGTAGCTCGCAGGGTCATGGAGGCACGCAAGCCATCACACCGCGTCAAGGTGCAGTCTCGTCGTGATGGATCTTGAAACGTGGAGAGATTCATCTCTGCGAATTGAGAGCAACAACACGCAACCAGAAAAATCTAAGGCATAAACGGAAATTCGCGGTAGCGTTCATCATCTAATCCGTGAAGGTAGTCATTTTCTGTGCGAACATTTCACTTGTCCCTCAGCCGAGATAGCGTCCATGCACATCTTTTGGTAGTTGCTGAAGCGCAAAATTACCTCATAATGGTGAAGCTAAAGTAAAACAAAACATAAACATTGTACTACATAGTTCATTGCGATGAATATCAGAAAAGAAAAACCATTTGGTTAGAGAAAGAGAGGAATACGTTTCAGTAGTAAGGAATGTTAAACGAAATTTCTCTACCTGGAGTTAAGAACTAAATACGGAATCGAACGGCATGGAGGCGACAGGGCAGTTATTGCTTGGAAATATCAGATCGTAACTAGAACGTTTATTTTAGCTGAAATGTATGCAAGCAATGTATTGCCGGCGATCCATGAACCTTTAGCACTTAGCACAAATTATTAATATCCCATTTAAATCACAATTACCTGGGAAGAGTGATGAGATATATGAAATGAATTTAGACTGATCATCTCCACGCAAAATCCTCGTATCGTACGATTAACCATATACACAAAAAGCATTGGGCTGCAGCTTTAAAAGGAACAAACTGTCAACCAGCGTGGGGCGAATTGAAATCGTTCCACACTCCACCTAGAGTGCACTTTATTTCAGGAATGCTTGATCGATAGGACCTAACGAAAGGCAAACAACACTAGTCTTGACAATGCGTTCTATGTTATTGGCAATCGGTAAATCAATTTCTCAATGCCAGGTTCGTCTGGAGAATTGATTGATTGAAAACGTATAAGGTTGCGCTTTTGTTACAATTCATTACCGGTAAAACGGTGACAAAATATTGTTTACGTAAAAAAAGTACGCCGGGAAACCAACGGTGTATGATTTAATATTACCAGTCGTTGAATAAAGAGTGAAACAGAGTGGGGTGCGCGACAAACCTGATCCGAAAAGGAACCAATCAAAATTCACAAATGAAGAAATCAACTTATCGCATACCGTGGGAACAGAAAACCTTGCCTACAAGATAAGGCCCACAGCATATAACAAATCCTAATCAGCAGATCCACGATTTACAAAGATTTTGTTGTTAAACAGCGCACTTAGAAGATTGAAATACAGTTGACTGAGACGGGTCCAGTGAGACAAATCGGACCACATCAAAGAATAGTCTTGTTCTGCTAGAAACTCATCCTTTGGGTGTATCAAGCTTACTTTGTTTTGATTCCAAACTGTTAAATGGAACAAAACGCCGGTTGTTTGTGTCGTTTTGAATGACCACTCACCTTTGCCCAATAGGACAAGGCAAAGTTCGAAATTTAAGAGAGGTCAAAGGTGGAACCGATGAACAGTATTGAGCTATTCATGTGGATTTGATGGTAGTACATGGTGGCTGAGGAGGGGATGCAACGACATCTAGACGGGTCACAGATGCGTGCACAAAAGTAAACGATTTTCAAAGCCTCGCTTAATTTGGCCAAGGGATGAGTGAAAAATGGCACTTAAAGACCCTTGCTTTGGTTAAAAAAATCGTATCTACTTAAAAGATTGGTGGCACGAGAAATCCAAATAGAGAAAAAATACAAACAAATAGCATGGTTATAGTTATTATTGAGGAATAAACAACCATAAACCACCAAAGCACGTATCTCCACGCCAACATCCACAGCAAACAGATGCCTTGTAACACGACCAAGAAGCCGAAAAGTGAACCATACGAATATTGCTGAGGGTTCCAAATTAATGAGTAATTGGGGTTTGATATAATTATACAAGTTTTTACACCTGAAAAGTTAGTTTACAGGGGTCTCCGTCGATTAGTATCCTCTGACGATCGTTAGGTGGCCAATGACTGTGGTTTAACAGTTACACCGTAGAGAAACACAGCTGAGGGTTACTGGGAGTCTCCAAGTCGTAAATAAGAGTGACAACTAATGAAAAAGTGAGTTTAGTTTCACGACGACAACTTGGTTACCAAATGTCAGAGCACTCGAAACAGGAGCAGCCGAGACTGCATAAATTTTTAAAATTTGCACCCTCCGTCAGCTACTAGAACACTGCCACGCATGTATATGGCAAACTATTGTCGTGTTTCCAGACATCAGAGCGGCCTTCGACCATATCGATCACCCCGCAGTGTGGAACTGCTTGCGGAGATACCGAGTACCCGAGAAGTATGTTTTACTCCTGAAAGCGCTCTGTCACCTCGGGGAAGGTTAGGGCTTATGGTGAACTTTCACCCTCATTTTCTGTCGCCAGTGGGGTACAACAGGGTTACTCTATCCCTTTGTTTCTCTCAAACTTTGCCATAGAGGATGTTCTACAAAATTTGTTACTCGACGGAACAAACGCTGGCTTCAAGCTTCTTCCGGGAGACAAAGTTGTAGACCTAGACACTTAGATGATATTGCCTTACTCAGTGACAACGCACCAACGATTCGAAATTCACCGAATCATTTGGCAATTGAGGTTATTCGTTACGGCATGTCCTTTGCACCTTCAAAGTGCAAGGTTTTGTTGCAAGATTGACTGGAACCTGTTCCTGTACTTTCACTGGGTAATGACAACCTGGAAGTAGTCCAAAACTTCGGCTACCTGGGAAGTTACATAGCGGCTGGCAGAGGTGTACGCGAGATCTTTCAGCGCACAATCAAAGCTAGATTAGCGTTTGCTAATCTACGGCATCTTCGACGCCGGAGCGACATATCCATTTCACTGAGAGGGCGTGCGTGTTGCGGGTGTATGGGGTACCCCGTAGGAGTAGCACCTCTAACTCGGAGGGCTGTCGGTCCCTTTGAGGAATTTTCCGTTCTTTGGTCTCCACCAGGAGCTCTCACTTTGGGCTCCAAGCTGTTTGGATGAAACGCAGGTCACATCCCGGTAAACCGCTGGACAGGCGGGCCAAACCAGGTTGAGGTTAACCAGGAGCTCAACCCTCGGCAAGTCGGTGTTTAATGGACGTGTTGGGCGGACGAAGTCGCTTTCACGACTCAACGGTCAAGGCAATGACTCTGTACTCATCAGGGATGCATGGACCTCTGTTCAGCTGGAAAATGTCAATGGCGTATGAGCTCCCCCGCCCCCCTCCCCCAGAGGGCCACCGGCAACCATGTGCTACCTTTCTGCTACCTTGCAGTTGGCACTTGAACGTGCAAAGGTTAGAGATGCCACCTCGACCCATAGCCGGGTGACGCTGGGGACGTTTCCTGTACCTAACTCCCAAGAAATTTCATGGATATTCACTTGATATTCATGAAGCCGGCTTATCCTCTCCCAGGAGCCAGCCGCCGTAAAGTAAATATTGCGCTGTTGCCCTGTTACGGTATGACTACGAAACCTGGCCTCTCCAAGCAGATCATGTCCGACAAACATTTGTATTCGATAACCGTTGTCTACGCAACATCGCCCGCGTGCGGTGGGGGCATCGCGTGAACAACGATGAGGTCAGACGACGTGTGTTAGGATCAAATAGTCTTCCGTTGAGCCAAATAATTTCACAGCACCGTCTTAGGTGGCTAGAACGCGTCCTACGAATGCTTGAGCAAAGTCCTCTACACCGTGAACTATTCGCAGACATCGGTCCGGGCTGTAAGAAACAGAGAGGTGGGCAGACTATTACTTCGCACAGAGGGTTAGAGAGATTGAGCTCGGATCTGCCTTCCGCTGGAGCTTCCCGACTCCCCGGATGGGGCCAAAAGATTCGGATTGTCTTTGGCTGGAGACTGAAGTCAGTGGCGTAAATGCATCCTTTATTGTGTGCGATCTCAAGAATATACAAATTAAAATTAAAAATAGCATGCAAAAAATTGTTACTCATCAAATTGACTGTTATTTTTGTTTGACTACCAAAAATACACAAAAATAATGTGCCACTTCGACCGATAGTCTCGCTGCCCGGTACACCAACCTACAGACTGGCTAAAGAATTGTGGAGAAGACTCAA